AGCAGGAGCTCAGCAGGGGACAGCCTGTGGCCCAAACAGGAGGGCTAACTGGAAAAACAGCTATTTAAAAGTAATCAAACTCAACCACTTTGTTGTAGTCTTCCTTTTCCTCTTTAGGCTTCATTACTTTGGAGTTCACAAGATATCTTTGCTGTTACCCATTAATTACAGCGCCAATCCATTTATCCGTGACATGTTTGTAAACAGATATGTCCTTTGGGATGCAAGGATTATAGTTTCAACTGCAGTGGATTTCATGGTTGCAGCTGAGTTAGAAGGAAGGAAAGGGGGAGAGGAAATCTAGAAATGGCATAGATCCATGTTTGTTTCTCTATTCACTTGAACTCAACTATTTCTGTTACACAAAGTGTGGAAAAAAATTTCCATTCTACAGTTGTGTTTTTCTACAGCTGCAACAATCTAAGGACATAAGCATAATACCATCTGTAAGCAGAGGTAATACCCTATACCAGCTGCTGTAGAGTCTAATTTTCTAGCTATACTGATTGATCCAATGAAAGATGCTTCCTCTACCTACAAACCTTGTCACAGGAAACTAACTGATGAGGATTCAAAGATTTCCATTAATAACCTCCAAGCCATAATCTCAAACGTGATCTCCCAGCAGGACAGCCATAAAGTAGAGTCAATGTATTTGGTTTCCTTTCTTCTCCTTTTGATGTCCTAGTCTGAGATATACTGATTGATCTAAGTATTACCATAGAGTCATCCTTCATGGCCCATCAAGGATGCCCTCTTTACAGTCAATAGCAAGAAAGATGGTCTGTTCTTGTGTTATGGCTCCCAGTCTTTTTTGAAGTCAGTTTCAGTGTTGCCACATCTTCTCTTTCAACATATCACCTTCTCCCTACAGCTACCTTTTCCCTGCAATCTTCCCTCCACCTCCAGATTCCTCCTGCCACATCCTCATCCATCCTCCCCCCAGAATTCTCTTCACCACCTCCTTTCACGCATGGGATCTCTAGCTCCCACTGGAAAAGCTTGGCAGCTCACTCTGCACCACTTCACCTCTAAAGCTGGGAACCTTTGTTCCAGAAAACCAAATGTTCGGCTGGGAGCGAGAGTACGTTCCAGTTACACCAGTCATTAATCATAGTTCTGCCCTATAATTGTGCCAGGCAGCAAAGTAAATAAATAACAATCATCTCTCACAAGAAGATACAAAAAACAGTGTGTTCTGGGAGTCAACATTTTAAAAAAATGCTCAGATACATAATAAATTCCTGGAGGGAGTACAAAGAGGAGGTAAAAAGACACAGACTAGCCCCCCGAGCCTTCAATATTATTAGAGCAATTGCCTGCTGCAGCAGAGGCAGTAAAGCTCTGTGTGATCATTAGCACATGAGCTGCGTCTGCTTCTCCTCTAGCCCACAAGGGAAATGAAGTTCTCACACTCAATTAGAAAAAAAAAAAAAAAATTAAAAAAAAAGCACAGAAAATTTGGAGTGTCCAAAGAATCATTTCATTATTCTTCCTAAAAGACAGTTCTTCAATAGGCTTTTCAAGTACATTAATTCGACCACTGAAAACAGGAACACACAGTACTGAGTACCTATGAAAAACGTATTTTGTTCACCCATACAGGGAAAAAAAAAAAATAAAAAATCTATTCCTGTTCGTGCCTCAACCACACCATGTCAGGTTGGTTTAGTTTTCTACCTCCAGTCACCACCAGCTGGCAGTGCAAAACTCCTCTCTTGATGGCCACTGTCATTTTTCCATTGTTGTTCCCTGAGGTCCAGATAACTCTCTATTTTTGGAGGGGCAGACCTCCAGGAATGTAAGGTCTTTGCGAAGGGCAGTTGGTGATATACTGTACTCTTCTTATTCAAGCCTTTTTTCAAGCAACAAAACATTCAACTCCCTCTTGCCTCATGTGTGTGGCTGTCTGTTGAACAATCCCCAAGTCTAAATAAAAAATGGAAGGGGAAGAAAGCATAACTGTTAAATCAAAGAGTAACTAATATATTCTGCCCCTTTATTATGACAGTATATTTCCCAGGTGAGGGGGAGGTTTCAGCTAATTTAATGTCCTAGAAAGGCTATTCAAAGGAAGGATTTTCACGACAGTGAGAATTGGGAAAGATCAGATTTAATACCACAGCTTCTAAATACAAAGATTTATCATAGTCTTAAGTTTTAAATGATTGGTTGATCTTCTAAGACACTGTTCAAAGCTGCAATTGAGAGCTATTGGAAATATTCATTACACATCCCACAACAATAAGGCTAAGACTTGTGGAAGTTATTGTCACCTTAGCACATAAAAGTCAAGAAACATTTCTTCTTTGTTTAAAGCTAATAGCAAACTGAGTTTAGGAATTCATTAGAGACACACTGGGAATCTGATGTTTTGTTTTAGCAATCTAAAAATGTCATTCATGGAGGTATTAGCAGCTACTAACATGGAAATTATTAAAAAGAGAACAATAAGCAGAAGAGCTGAAACTGTCATCCCCTTGTACCTCTCTTTCAGACCATCACTTTGGAAGGTCTGACTTTCACCCTGCCTTTCCTCATTGCCTTATACAAGGTTATGTTCAAACTAGGGAAATCGGAAATCACCTCTAAGTCAAACAGTGTCTGAAATCTGCCCACAAACTGGTTCTCTTTGTCCAACCTAAATTTCATAGCCCACAGAATAACAGTGTCATTCTTGCACAAGTGATCAAAAGTTAAGAGAAGTTCATCCAGGAAGGGATGGTGGTAAACGACATCAGCAGCCATAATGTAGTCAAAGTGACAGGAAGACCTAGGAAAGTTCTTTTCCAGATCAATTCCCCAAGACAATTCCTTAACATGAGGCTGGTGCTTGCATTTCAGCTTCGTGTTTTGGAAAACATTGTGCTGAAGGTTTCCCAGAAGTTCTGGCAAATCAGTGGCAGTCACAAAAGCACCTGTAATAGGGAGAAAACAAACATAACCCTTTGAATATACTTCAAGGCTTGAGTAAAAGCCCACTCATAAAAGCCACTGGACAAGGAACTGATTTTACCAGGTAGCTCTCACCAAGGGGAACAGAACACTGTAAATGCTCTCAATAGCTCTTGGCTGTTGCACTTACAATAAGTATATGGTACCTGGTAGTACTAGTTTACAGATTGCAATCTAAATGCAGCTGAGGATGGGTGGGGAGAAATCAGATACTTACTGTGTCTTGATATCATATTAGTTAAAAACACAATGAGCAAATAAGGGTTGAAGAATACCAGTTTCTGACTCCAAAAAAAGTCAGCATGAGATTTAAACACTGCCTCAGGTTCTTTCCTTTTCATATAGCAAAAAGATTTCTCAGACTACTGAAAGCTAAGATTCCGTTAAAATGCAGAAGTTACTGATTTAGATTACTCTTGAGGAAGAATGGTCTACCACGACAGAAAACACAACAGTATCTATAACAGAAAAATCAAGGATTAATCACTGAAAGAAAATGTTGAACATAAACAGAAAGAAAGTGACTTGGCATCCAAGAGCTGTTCAGTCAATGGAAGGTTATGCATTGGTCATACCTACATCTGGCTTCATCTGGTTGCCACTGACGTCCTGTGAGGCCACTAGTTCCTTGTTTTGGTTCTCTGTTTAACACTTAATAACAACATCGTCTATTGGGACCTCCCTTATTGCATCAATAGACTCACAGCTTTACAGAAATAATAACAGAACAGATTTCCAAACAAGCATTTTGGAATTTACTTTTTCTTGCTCTTGGAAGCTTTCAAACAACAGCATTTTAGAGGAACTGAGCCACTTCCTTTGTCCTCCAGTATTCACCTGAGAGATGCTTCCAAGAGCGTAAGAGCAATGGCATGTACTTACCCAGTAAGCTGGCTACTATGGAGACCAACCCAGTTCCAGCTCCAATTTCAATCACATTTTTGTCAACCAAATTGTATTGTTTAGAGTTAGTTTCCAAAAAATAACACAGAACAAGAGCCTGTAGGGGAGGGAATCCACGAACATACTGAACAAATAAATGAAATAAACCCCTTCACTAAATATGCATTGTCATTTAAAAACATGCAAAAAAATTTCTTTTGTAATTTCATGTCTGTTCAAATGAGAAATATTAATTCAAGTATTGCCCCTAAAGGATCACAGCTCACCATGATCTTTGAGCTCTATAGGCTCACAAAATAAATGTCACAATATGCCTCAACAGAGGCTTGCAAAGCATTACAGCCAGAAGGAACAACTGCAATTATCTAATCTGTCATGCTGCATAACATGAGCTATGAAATTCCAGTCAGCAATTCCTGCTTAAAACTGTACTTGCTTCTGGTTGAGCTAAAACATGTCCTTCACAAAGACATCTTGATATAAGGACTGCTTGAAAGAGAAAATCCACAGCAACCCATGTCAAGCTCTTCTAATAGTTAATTATTTCTAACAATAATTAATTATCATAATGATTCAAAAGGGACCAACAGATTTACCCCTCTTCTTTCAGTTCAGTTTGATTTCAGATCTTCCTTGCTTACCTTAAGCATAGCAAACCTTTACAGCAAACAAAGCCACAAAGCCCTCTACAACATACTCCTTATATATGCATATATAAACTGTGATTAAGCTTCTTCAGCTTTTATGTCTTGTCTCACACTGGCCAGTGAGTTTTAGTTCACTTTTGAAATAGGAATTGCTAATTTTATTTCTCTGACAAAGATAGTTTCCAGCTTATATCCCACATTCTTTCCCAGACTTAAATAATTATATAGTCTTCATTGACAAATACGTATGATGGTTACCACATCCTTTTGCAATACAGATGACCATTTGGAAAGGCAGTTATTAGTTGCTCAGTCACACACAGTAAAGTTACACTTTTAGTTTTACTTTTAATCAATTAAGAAGTAGAAGGAAAGGAGCAGGAGGAATGTTGACCTAATGTTGACATGGTAGAAATTAAAACAAAGTTTTTGCTCTCTACCTCTTAATTCAGAGCAAAAAGAGTAGGGTCTTTTAAGTGAACACATACATACATATATCTCATAATCAACACAGCTTTGACACAGAAATAAGTCTGTGAGCACCAGGACTAATTAAAGCCAGGTTCCTAAAAAATTGCATCTGACATTTAACTGACATTTAAAAACACACTATATTAAGATTTCCTGTTAGTTCCATATATTCCTATAACTTATTCCCTCAGAGTTTTGCCATATTCAGTTGTAGAAACTGGCTGGCGGGATCAAAATTACTGTGGGTTAAATTAGGGAAACTTTGAAATCTGGTTTCCTTTCCATGCAACATGCATAAGTTTTCCTTAAAGTTTTTGCCCTCTCAACAAATTTTGCTGAGATTTTTTGGAAGGGTTCAAATACTGCTGGATGGAACAGAAAGGGAGAACGTGAAGGGACACAGACAGAAGGGTTGCCTTCCTTCCACAGCAAAACTGGCTAAACCCATCCAGAACAAAAAAACCCCAAACTTTTCAGTATATATACATGTAATGATTTTGTGAGAATAATTGGCAATCACCCAATCTTTCCTCAAAGACATCACTAAGACTGCTAAGAGATATAGTATAAATTACTTGTCCAGATCTGCTAAGACAAGGAAAATTGTTCGGAGTTCAAAACAGCAGAGTACACTAACTCTCCTCAGCTGAACTATGGCCATATTTCTTAAAAAATAGTACAATCCTAGGAGGCTGATACCACTAGGACAGAAATGGAGCCAAGGATAGGGGTTCTCTCCCATTAGATTTCTGGCTGCTTAAGAAACAGAAAGCTCCAGCTGAACCTTTTCCTATGTCTGTGTATTTACAAGATAAATTTGTTTCTCACATGAGTAGGTTGAGTAGCTTCTATGAGTGCTAATACCTTGTGAGCTCATATCACAGCTGTTTCCGCAACCTGGATCTGTCTGTTATACAGTCATCTGTATTTATAAAATTCACAGAAATGTAATCATCATAAGACTGCCATGTTTCCTTCAAAATACGCTTGTAATTGACCAATAGGATCAAAAGTTACTGGTAGGGGAGGAGGCAACACAAGATCATACATCTTGTGTGATAGGGGCACAAAAAAGAAATAGCATTTAAGCTTTGAGAACCAGGAATATATATGAAACTAGGCTAAATTCAAGTTTAGGATTTGCAGAAGAGAGACAGAGAAGCACCAAATGTTGTCCTTCAGTTTACAATGTACAACAAAACATATTTTTCATGCAAAAACAATTAGAAGTGCTAGAAGACTCCAAAACTAAATAATAACAATGCTGCATAAATATTGTACCGATGGCCAGACGACTGCCCCGTAACAATCAGTGGCTTCAGTAATTCTTATCTCATGGCCAGCGAAGTGAAAGCCTTCCCAGGCCTTATGAGTTATAAGAGCAGGGAAAAAACGCCTTCTCATGATTTCTGCAACTATCTGTTCATCTTCTTTTTCCCCTGGAAGAAAAAGCATAAAAGGTCAAACAGGCTGAGTGGACTGATAATGAAACTATCAATTTATATTGAAAAGCTGATTTGGAAGCAAGAATGTGAATTACGTCCGTGAATAAAAACACATTCTACCATTAGCATGATACATGAGAAGTCTGAATTCTAATTGAAGTTCTCAGTTTATGACTAAATAATTTCTTTCCTGTTTTGCTGAAGAAGCCAAGTTCATAAAACATAAAAAAGTGGAAATGTTACCATATATTACTTTCCATTTCAGCAATCCAAATGAATATTTTTAACTTCTTTTTCCTTTTAAGAACAGCTGCTCTAGTATAGACATTCATGGTCTTATACGCCCAGAATTTTTATTATTTTTCATATCCTTTTACTGTTCACTTTCCTTACATTATGTTTCTTTTTGACAGTAAACAAAAGGAGCCACTGTATCATTTATAAGTCTGTCACAAAACTTGTGAAACAGATCTTAGCAACACAAATTATGACAGACAGGAGCGAAAGCACTAGTGTTGTCAGGAAAGCTTATCCACCCACTCCAACAGAGCCCTGTCAGAGGGATTCTTTCCAGTTGGCTTGATATCCTGAATGCCATCCCTGTTGCTAAGCGAAGGATATTTATGATAGCTAACATAATCCTGGATAACTCTTCTAACAGGAGAGGATTCATTCTCTTTTAGCTGAACACCAAGCCAGTTTCAGTTTTGCTATGATGACACAAAGCTGCAGCACAATGTTAAAAAAAAAAAAAAAAAAAAAAGTGTGAAGGTGTCCAGAGTGTTTTCTTAGCAAAGTCTAGAATCACTCCAAGTTTTCACAGGAAATTTGCTTTCACAGCCAACTATGATCTCTTGGCAAACCAGCTAAAGCAAAACATGTTTACAAGCTACACCTCCTAGAAAGCATGCTAGAGATTTAAATAACTGGGTTACCATCTTGTCCAAAGCAGAGTTTCAATATGAAGCCTACAGTTACCATCAAAATCACAGATATCAAGATCAGGATCTGCACAGAAACTGCAGCATCAATGGCTATTAAAAATGAAAACATTTATGTTTTCATCAGCACAAAACACACTGGTTTCCCAAAGATTCTTCACGTATTCTTCCCCCTCAAATCATTGCGGTCACAGGACACGAGGCCTCAAGTGTTGTCATTTGCTCTGCCATATGCCTCAGTATTTTTATTGCCACAACTTATTGACAAAGTCTCTCTCCCTTCTTTGTGATAGGATCACCAAGGAACAAAAGCATGGGTTAACAAAGAAAGAGATGATACCAAACAAAAACACATCAGGAAGATGCTAAGGCTCATTAGCCAGTGCTTTAAGCTTGTAACTCAACTTAGTCTAAGCATCAGAAGAAACTAGAGAACAGCAACAAACAAGGAAGAAAAAGTAAAAATGTTCATGTTCAATCTTAGTATGCTGACATTAAGACATAATCTGAAAGTTAAACAAACAAACAAGAAAAACACAACAACAAAAAAACAACTAACCAACCCACAGTACTCCAAGAATTTATTGGGGGAGGGAGGGGGAGAAGAGAACACTAATCGTGGGTTACAGCAGAATTAAAAATAATGTAATGCATATACTACTGGAAAAATATAAACAGTATCAGTTTGTAAATGTAACTTAAGGTAGTAAATATTGAAACTATTATATTTTAAGATGTTAGGAAATATGTAGCATGCAGCAGCCTATTACATCTTCTGCAAACCTCAAATGTTAAGCTGAGAGAAAACACATGCGTCGTTGTGCCTGCAAGCAGGGAACTCTGCACATACATGAGTTAAGTGCCAGAGAAATGCTGCTCCAGGGCAAAATTAATCTTTTCTTATGAAAGAATGAATATGAAGCTGTCTTATTACGCATACCATAAGTGTATTTAATAGATCATCCTGTTCCCAGGCATACCAGATATAGCCTGCTTTTAATCTTCTCTGATTGCTTAGAGCAGTCTGATCTTGTTCTGTGATCAGCACTAGCTGTGGAAGTAAAAAGCCATTCCTTCTATTACCTCCCAATTACAACCATTTTTCTTGATTCTTCCTCCCTTGACATCTGTTTTGGATCCAATTTTGTTGAGAAGCCGTAACTTACTAAGTCTTAACTTATAAAGCTTCTGACAGATCTATAAAACTTTAGCAGTATTACAGCTACCCCTCTAGTGCTCAATAAAGATTTCCCACCTATTCCCTATATTATCAGCAATGTTTCTCCTTCAGGTTTGCATAGCACCTACACTAACGGAGTTCATAGGCCACCACTCCCTATCTGAGCTAAACTGGCCACAGCCCTGAAAGAAGAATCACAAATCTGCTGATTAATAACACCACTTAAATCTTTGGCCACCTTAACTTTTTGGTAACCCCCCAGGTGGGTTATCTGGAGAAGTTTACTTAATCCTTATATTTTTGTCTTCCACTTAGGAAGATCTTACTATTGTGGAGAATCAAGAAGAGTGTATGTTTCATCAGAGACATCACATGGTAGACAGGCTTCAAAACCCTAATAAGAAAATGCATCAGGACAAGGATGCTAATGCTTCTGATGAAGGGTGCTGACAAAATAAGGGGTGCAGACTTTTAGTCAAATTTGCTTACTTACTTAAAAGTTTCCCTTCATACTGCAAAATCCACTCTTCTATTTTCTGCTTTATATCTTTCAGAATAACTAAACTTCTTGTAGGACTGCACAAAAGGAAAGAAGTTAATTTTTCTGTAAATGACTTCAGAGCAGTCAGAAAAATAATGAACTAGTAGGGAATCTTTCAAGCAATAAGCAAATTATTATCAGAGTATGCAAAATCCAAGTGAGATCAAGTCTTTTAATCCCTGCAAATATTGAGAAAGTTCTACTGGTACTTTGATCAAACTAGTTTCTTGATAATGTATTGAAAATTACTCTCCTGGAAGTGTTTATCTCTGTGTTCTTCCTTATTCTCTTGTTCAGGAGGAAAAATTCTTGGAATTATGACTCATTGAAGGTATTTTAATGACATTTTAAGACAACAGAAGCTGACACATCAGTAGAATGGGGTCAGGCAAGAGAAGAGGAGGCTTGACCGCCCTAGCTCTCAATTCTTGTAAGAATGGAAGTACACAACAGGCATTTCCAGCAATACTACTCAAGTACTCATACTAAAATTCCAGAAATTAAAGGTCTGCTAGGACTGGTTCCTACCTTCTTTAATTGCCTGGGTTTGACCAGGTAGGTTGGCCTTCACTCCTCTTCTGTGATTTGGAGAGGCATGGAAGTGGTATACACATAGAATTACTTTCCTCAGCCTATTCATCTCTTTGCATGAGCATGTATACACAGAAACCATGGGAGTTGCAAGTGCTAGAACCTTATTTACATTAAGATGAGACAGTCTAATCCTGTTCAGGTAACACATAGAAATTGAGATAATTTTTGTTAGTGAAACAGTTCACGCTCCTTTGGTCTTGAACTTCTGTTCACAAAAAGTTCCCATCTATAGATGCCCCAAATTCTTCTTGAAATAGAATTTGAATGTTTAAGTTTCTTAAGACTCTCTGCCTAACAGGTTAATTTCTTACAGAGTTCTTTGAAATATTTCAGGTAAAGTATTTTTTATCATAAAAGTCTAATGTCTTTGGAGCATGTTCTTGAACTCCCTTGATTTTAAGTTAACATCAGGGCTGAGGGAGAAAAGTCATATACTGCTGACACATCTTGCACTATATCAACCACATCATTAAGAAAACAGTGCAAACATCATCCTCAAAGGCAAAGCAATCATCATTATTACAACTGAAATACGAACATAGTTTTCCAAAGAGACATACTAAATCACGTGGAAGACTGGAATTGTGAAGTCAGTGGCAGGGTAGTTAGAAAAACATGTGTCAAGCTGCACAATCTTAAGCAGGGAACCAGAGAATTCTGCTGACACATTCAAATGTCAAATGAAATGTTTTATATTAGACCAAAACCTGAAGAAAGAAAAGGACATGAGTTCTGCTGAGACAGAATTGAAGAAGTCCTTCAAGAGGAGAAGGGAAGGAAGAAGGAAAATAACAGGATATAGACCAGGTCAGAAATAAACAAGTTGCAAACTGCAGCATTCCTTTTTTTTAACAATTAAGCAAATCACACAAGTGGGCCTTAGGCTATCTTTATCGGAATACTTTTTGCTTAGAACAAGTAGAAATAGCACCTGTTTAGAAACGTGCTACATGATCAGCTCTTCCCTTTACACCAATTGTCACATAAAATCATGGTTGGAAGTATACAGCTCCATCAGGAAACAGTAACCTTAAAATTCAGTTGGGTATTTTCCATCAATTAATAGTATGTGTAAAATCTCTCACTGCATAACTAATGATACTGCCTCCATTAATGCATTCTCCACTGAATAAAGAGGAAACAGAGACAGGCACTCTTAAAAAGCATTTAAAATGCAGGAAAAGCAGCAAAGACCAGGAGGGTGAATTAAAACTATATTGAAAAAAAAAAAAAATACCACTGTCTAGATATCTGAACTAAAATGTGGCTTACAAAAGAAGTAAAATGACCCTGCCACATAAAAGGTGTGAAGAATATACTAGCAGTCGATATCTTAATTTTCAAATTCATTCACAAATAGCACACAATAACAAAACATCCTCCAAGTACTTTGCTAACAGATTAGAACAGCATTAATTCAGAAACAACAGTTTCACACAATTATTCATCAAAACAACCTACAGGGAAAAAATACAGACTAGTCTCTTTCAAGTGGTAGCCTGACCTTACTTAATTTATTGAGGTCAAATGGTGTCACAGCCCAAGGTGATAAGGAAATAAGACCCAGCCACCTTCTGCTTCTCTCCTGCTTTGATGGATCTTCTCCAACTGGCAAAAGGAATGAAATCCAAGCCTGAACTTGACCTGACAAAGTTCAGCCCTACAGCAACATATTCTCCCTTCTTCAGAAGCAGTACACTCTCACCTGTAGAGTTAGATTTTAATTTTTACCATTTAGACTTGTACTTATAAATATTTCAAAACTACATATCCACAGCTGTGAAGATGTACATGGTTCCCTCTAAGACTTCTCAGCAATTGCCTCTTGAGTTTGATGAACACTGGAGGACTACCTGTGCTGACAGTAATTACTGACTGAATAATGCATGACAGAAAGTTCTAAGATTTTATGATAGCCAAGACTCTTCAGATCTCCCCACTATGGACACACAGAACCAGAGTCATCCAAAGTAAAGGTTCAAGAAGCATTTTATATACATCAAAGTAAAGATTCGAGATTTATTTTAGATATATAATATACATTACATATATATATATTCACATATAAAATACCTATCTATATATCCCAATGTCAAGAAGATACCCGCAGAAAGGTCAGTAAGGGAACAGACCTGCAGTAAGAGATGACTGGAGTTCACCTCAAATCTACGTTAGGTCCCAATTCTAAGGGACTTTGGAGTCTCACAATTTTACTGGGCTACTGACATCTCAGGATCAGATCCCTGGTCTTGCAAGCATTACAGATGCCTCCATGGAAACATACACAATCCTGAATCACAGAATAGTCACCAAATTCATGGTGATATCTCTTTAATGTCTTTATTTCGCTCCATTTATTTCTATTTCATTCCATTCCATTCAAGCCTAAGGACGCTTAAAGGAAGGGGTTAGGAGGGAAATCTAATCATGTCCTTGACTTTCCAGAAGTCAGATGTAACCTACACCTTTCTAAGAATATAAAGCAAAGTACTGTTCCAGTACTTACCTAAACTACACAGTTAATTTTTCCTTACTTGATCCCTTCCTACAAAGAGGGAAATGATCATGTAACTAAGCGTAGGCATTCCAGTACATTCATTACAAGCTCAGCCTGCTGAATTGATGGCAATGATGAGGTATGTTATATTGATTAACCTCAGATACTACGTCAGGGTAATATAATGCTTGAAACTTTATACTTTAAAATGCAGAAATACAAAACTGCCACCCACGGGCAGCGTCTTCTCAGCCAAGAGACAAGGTACACTTAGGTCAGAGCATGAGGAAGCAAGAACAG